AATGATAAGACTTCAGAAATACAGTATTATATTCAGAAAGACTTTCAATCTTCTTGCTGCTCAAACACCTCTTGCTCTCATGTGGGCACTTTAATGTTGTCAGGATGTCAATTCTATTTCGACGGAGTCCTTATAAATGGAATTTTCCCCTTTTTATTCTTAGCTAACATGAATGGGTAAGAGGATGTTTGAGTTTTCTCCTCTGTTTTCATAAAAACATACTTTCCCACAAGACTGGTGGAAAACAGTATGGTTATGAAGCGCTCTAAGCTTTGAAGAGAGAACGTTTCCTCTGGCCCTCAACACCTACTGTTCACTATCTCCAAATAGCTCCACGGTTATTGTTCTCTCTAATTGCTGTGATGCTTTGAAGAGTCTGAAGGCACTGGAATCTTAGTTTCCACCAAGAAATGGCTTCTACTTTCTTTTGGTGCAGTACCACTTGAGTTTCAGTTGTAAAGAGTTATGGCTACAAATCCATTGTCCTTTGCTCTTTACATAATGCTAGGGCCTGTCGATTAGAAGGATGTAAATGTTTACATCTTTTGCCCAGGAGCAGGAGTAGACTGAACTACACTCAACACCCTTGTATTAGCTATCTATTGCTGTGTAAAAAGTGATCCTGACATGAAGCATCTTCAAACAATAAACATGTATTATCTCACACATTTTCTGTGTGGAATCTGGGAGAGGTTTAGCTGGGTGGTTCTGGCTGAGGATATCTCATGAGGTTATGCCAAGGTGTTGGCCTGGGGCTGTAGACATCGGGAGGCTTTTCTGGGGCTGGACTGGGGTTTTCAAAATGGCTTATTCACATAGGTATTGGCTGGAAGCCTGTTTCTTGCTCATGGAAGCCCCTGCTTGAAGGCCCTTATGGCATGGCAGCTGGCTTCCTCCAGAGTAAGTGATCAGAGAGAGAGAGACCGTGGAAGAAGCTGCAATGCCTTATAACCTTGTCTTAGAAGCAGTCACTTTGGCCATATTCTACTTGCTAGAACTGAGTCACCAGGTGTAGCCCATACTCAGGGAGGGGAATTGAGCCCCACTTCTTGAGAGAAGGTATATAAAATAATTTTGGGACATATTTTTAAACTGCCGCTGTTCTCTTGATTTCCCTCCTTTATGATTGGCTATCTGCAAAACACAAACACACAGACAAACAAACAAACCAAGGTCAGGGGTTTAGTCTGGAGTCAGCATACGAACAGATAAATACTGTTCCCTCAATCTTGAGGTAATTCGCACAGAAGTTCATGCTTCCAACCTAACCAAACAGGTGCTCCTCAAAGCTCTAAAAGGATGAAGTGGAAATTCCGACTGAGAGAGCCAGATTTTTAAACAATACTGTCTTCTGTGCCCTTGTGAATATGCAGTGGCCAGGAGGTAGCTTTTCTGGGGCAGTGCTTAGAGAATGGGACACCAGGAAGGCTTCTGAACGGAGATAGAACTGCTTGGCTGTACTCACCTAGACTAATAGGTCAGAATGGAGGCAGCAGATGGTAAGACCTGAGTAAGAAGCTAGCTAGTTCTATTCTGCTGGTTGGCAAAGGCCAGTCACAGATGGTGACAGGGAGGCTACAAGTAGATCCCAGTTCTGGGATCAAGCAAGTGCCAAAGCTTCACACTAAAATTATCCGCAGCACCACTGAGTGATGTACAGGATCCACAGGCAGAATTCTAGGTTTGGATAGCAAAAACGGAGACCACAGTGGTTCTGGCCCCTTGGTGGCTCTACGCGCACAATTTGGTACCAGATGGAGAGGTTGCGGGAACAGAGCATGACTGTCAGACCACAGAGTGAAGCATCGCACCATACAGACAGATGGCCGAGAGGGGTGCCCCACTCTGTGACAGCTCACTGCCTTTTGAATACTCTTACTGCCTGTGTACCCTTCAAATGGGCCTCTTCAAAAACTTCTACTTCCAAAGCGTTTTTATCTAGAAGTCAAATATAAGTGTTCCAAGCTTGACTCCAGGCTGCGAGCACTTTATAACTTTGCTATTTCCTCACATTTCGAGACTACCAGGTTTCCGATACACTAAGTAACAAGGGAATCATAGAATGGTATAACTTATGAAACCGAGCATTGAAGAAAAGATGTCATATAACGATAGAGTCTTTCCAGTACATTCTTGCTATTAAGACTCCCGTGCAAGAGCACAGGGGTTGGGAAACATAGAAAATGCACAGATTTATACTTCAAGATGTACATCAACTCGACATGTCATTACCCTACCAAGGAATTCAGTGGCTCTGCTGGTACCACCTTTAGATGCAGGCAGGCGGGGATTCCCTTTAAAGGCTCTGCTCCGGCCCTTCTCCAGCTGTGTTTCTACATCTGAGGAGGAGACCATTAAGCCAAGAAATGCGTCCACCTGGAGGTGACTGTACCCCTTCAGACCCCACATCAGGTACCCAGGAGCCAGTATTCCCTACCCAAACAGCCCTAAGCCACTTCCAGAGCCTGCAGAAGCTTCTCCTCTACATCCTGAGATGTACGTCCTGGACCTGTGGAATAGCCAAGAAATGACTGTTTTGGAGGCAAGAGAGTGAAGACGGAGTTTGGACATGGGGGCTGAGTGTTTGTGGAATGGAGGGTACCCGGCACTGTAGGGCTGCAGGGGCCACGGGAGGCAAAGGCGGAAAGGCTGCTCCACGTGGGGACCCGCTCTCTCTGACCTGCCTTGTTCCAGCAAGGAGCTCTGAGAAGTCTCAAAATTCTCAATTCAAACTGGGTCTTCCAAGTTGTTGTGATAGTATATTTGTCAAGGTGAAAGGATACAACGCTTTTAGTTCACCGTTTGTTAGCTTTTTAACTTTTATATATTTAGACATTTGGTGTTTGGGTCTCCATGTGTGGCCTTCTCATGGGCGCTACAAATATTAAAATTGGTCCCCGTTCCCCATTTAATATGGAATCCAAGTCAAATCAGCTTGGCCTGACTTTTAAGGCCTTTTACTATTTGGTTTTTCTCTAATCTTACCTCCCACTACTTTTCGGCAGGAATCTTCTATCTGTCAAACCCGTCAATCCACAGCCCAGGCTCAGCCACATCCTTTTCTCTGTGCTCAGGTTCACATTATTTTTCTCCTCTGAAAGGCCTCCATTTCTGCCTTGCATTATATGGCCAACCTACTGTTTCATTAGGACCCAGCTCAAGCCTCACAGCCATGTCTCCTCCCTCTGGACTCTTCTAACAGCTTTTGTCTCAGCCATTTATTGGCACTCAAAGTGTGCAACTGTGTGTGGCCATTTTTCCTGTGATGCACAAGGTGTGGCTATAAGATAAGGAGACATAAATATGCAAGCTTTCAAACCAGGACAGGGGACAGGAAAAAAAAAGAGTCACCAAAGAATCAGGAGAATGTAGTTAGACAGCTACTAAGGGAACAGATGTCAACATTGTCAATAAGCTGAGACAGGTCACCGGGAAAGAGACCCAAAAATAGACCATTCTTCCAGGAGGAAAGAGGTCTTTTGTAACCACTGAGAGAATAGCAGATTGTGTGAGCAAAAGCAACACTGTAGTGGGAAAAAGAAGAGATGAGAAAGTGGAGACAGCAAATATACTTTTATTAATTTATTTAGAGACTGGGCCTCAATCTATGACCCAGGTTGGAGTGCAGTGGTAAGGTCACAGTTTACTGCCGCCTCAACCACCCAGGCTCAAGCCATCCTCTCAGTCCCCCCAATCCCTGCCAATAGCTGGGACTATAGGTGTGTGCCACCACATCTGGCTAATTTTCTGTATTTTTTGTAGATATGGGAGTTTCATTCTGTTCCCGGCTGGTTTTGAACCCCTGGGCTCAGGCAATCTTCCAAACTTGGCCTCCCAAAGTGTTGGGATTACAGTTATGAGCCACAGTGTCCAGCAGCAAATAGACTTCAATGTTTCTTAAGAAGGGTGATTCCTATGAGAAAGGAGAAGGTAGTTTGGGTGGAAGAGATTGGGTGGCTTTGTTCTGTTCAAAGGATGTGTGAGACTATGTGGGAGAAAGAATTTAGGTTAGAGGAAGAAATTAATAATGGGGAAAGAATAGCTGAATAAAATCTGGGAATGGCTGAGACAGTGCACAGGTGCAGGGGTTAAACTTGAGGAGAAAGGACACTTCTTACTGTGGGTAAGGGACTGAAGAAGGGAAGATGAATGAAGCTACAGGATAGGCATAATAATGAAAAGACTGGACTTAAGTGTGAAGCCATTGGCTGCCATTATAGAGGAAAGGCTAGGAAAGCCGTATTTTCTGGGGCCAGGCCCAGATTTCACATATTTAAGTATAACAGTCTTCACTTATTCCTTTCACATTATTCAGTGCCCTGCGTGTGCCAAATACTACTGGGCACTGGGGTCTGTAAAGGTAGGACTTTTCATGTAATTTTGGAACTTGTTATGTTGGTAACTCGAGATCTACTTTTTACTCTTCTGGAAGGCTGTAAGTAGAAATAAATACAGTCATCAGACGAGTCCTTTGTGAGACCAGATGTCCCGGGTCGGGGTTTGAAAAACATGGGCATCTTAACAATGGTGCCCTGTTTAAGGTGCAGAGGGAGGAGAGGCCAAAATCGGGGAAAGGAATTAAACGGAGGTTTAGACGCGGGTAACCGGAGTGGGTGGGCAACCTGGAAGATGGGAACCCCCTGCGCACTTCAGACAACGCTGTAACCAAGGGTAACCGCGCCTCGGTTTACACCGGTGTGAAGAGCAGCCTTTTCCCCAAACCAGGTGTATCTACGGCGGCCTGGCTGGACCACACACAAACCAAGCACGTCGGCCCCGCCGCCAACGTCCACTGCCTCCTACTAGTTCAGGTCACTACGGCCTTTGCTCAGTTTATTAAGGAGGGGCGGAGAAGGGGCGGGGCGCATCGCCTTTCTTCTTTTGCAATTGGTCGTAGTAGACTCCGGGGCCTGCCTCCCGTCCCGCCGCCGACAGGCTGCCAGGACTGTCACTCGAGTAGCTGCCGCTGCCGCCCCCGCCCCCTGCCGCGGCCCCGCCCCTCGCCGTGGCTGGGATCTCGCGGGAAGAGCTGCGGGCACGGCGGTGGCTCGGTCTCCCTGGCGCGGAGCGGGAGGGCTTTTCTCACACAAGCGCTTCCTAGCTGAGAGGCTGGAGCTGCAGCCCCGCAGGCCTGAGCCGTCCCTTGCCTGCCGTCTCCTTCCCTTTCTCAGGGCTCCCTGGTCTGCTCGCCCTCCGACGCTGCTCAGGTTAGAAAGCGCGGAGCGCGTCGCGGCTGAGAAGCGGTCGGGGAGCGGGGACACGGAACGGCCGGGGCAGGCGGGCTCCTGACGGGGGCGGCTCCGGGGGTGCGCGGCGCTGCCTGGTGGGCGCGAGGCTTGCCGGTGTTTGGGAGTACGGGGGGCGAGAGGGCGGTGCAGTGGGATCCGGGCGCGGGCGCCCAGGGGCGGTGTTAGCGGGTGCTGGAGCTCCAGAGGTGAGGGGGCAATTTCTTAGGGGTCCTGGGGGCTCTTCCGGCTTGAGGTGGGGGTGGGTGGCGGCACTCGGGGTCCCGGGTCTTTGACGTTGAGGGAGATTTATTAGGGTCTTGGGCTTCTTTGAGGAGGTGTCGCGGGGTTCCGGGACAAGGGGTCCTTTTATCCGGGTCCCGAGCTCTTTGGGGGCAGAGAATGCAGTTTAGCAAGCTTTACACCGGTGTAATCCCTGCCTCTGGAGGCAGACCGTTAGGGTCTTGGGGGTTCTTTGAGCGGACGTGAGCGTCAGTTTCGCATTGCTGGGATGAAGAAGCGGGGTGTCCGGGTTCTGGGGACAGGGGTCTGTTCATCGGTGTCTCCGAGAGCTGTGGATCCGCTCCACGGGGGCCGGGGCCGCCTTCCGGGGTTGTTGGGGGCTGAGGGTGTACGGCGGCGACCAGCGTCTGTACCGGGGTTTCTGCTTTGCCCAGAGGGGGGCGGTAACTTGGCATGGTCTCCAGTCTTTTGGAGGCGACGGGGCGAGTTAGCTGGTCCCCGGGCGATCTCTCGGGGTGGGCGCGGCTCAGTGGGCGCTGGGTCCACTGTGGGCGGGAGAGGGCTTTAGTGCCACCGCGAGCCCGCCCAGTCTGCGGCTGGGCAACATCCTGAAACGTTTTGGTTCAGGTCTCCTTCTCTCTGGATGAGGTTTACTCAGTGCTTAGTTGGACGATTGATCGGTGTTGTTGCCTAGTTGAAGAAGCAGCGCATTTGTTCTGCCGTTTTCTTTTCTCTGCCCCGGGATCCCTGTGGGGCCACGCTGGTCTCGCTGGGGCTCAGGGAGCTAGAGTGGCAGCACCTTAGGTGGGCATTTGGTCTGCAGGTTCTTTAAGAGGCTAGTGTCCGCAGGTTGAGCGTGGAGACAGCTCCTGAGCAACTGGAATCTGTTGAGGGTAGGGAAGACTGATTTTGGCTTGCTTTTCTAAGTGGCGGTCTGCCTTGCTGATCCTGCATTATTAGATCTGTTCTGAAGTCTTGCCTGAGTGAGTGTTAGGCAGTCAGGTAGTGCTGGAAAGCGTGTTCTGTCTGGCGTCTTTCTGTCCTTTGAAAAGCATTTGTCGAGAGGGTTAACTTCGAATTCAACTTCCAGAAAACAATGGAATTTGAAATCTCAAAGCTAGAGCTCTGCAAAAGCGTTTTCTGTGACCTGTAAGGATGGTTAATCGAGGTCTTCAAGAGAATCTTACTTAGCAGTTTTATTGTATTGTAAAAGTGTATTTAGCCTTGGATATTACAGAGGTTTTGGTAACTAGCGCAGGCTTGGGCGAGATTTAAATGAAATGATATGTATTTATGTGTATTGGTTAAAAAAAATTGTATAGGACAGAAAGCCTGTGGGTTTGCCTGACATTTCTTTTGGTTAGTTGCTCTATCACAGAGGCCTGTATATGAAATTTAATGTGGTAGGCAGTGAAGTCCGTATACAGAGCTATTCTGTAAATGTGTAATCTGGGGATAACAGACAAATATGAGTATACCAAACCAAATAATTTTGCCTGCCTTAGTTTTTCTTCGTGTCAGTTTTTTTGTTTTTTTTTTTTTTTTTTTTTTTTTTTNTTCTTGCTTTTTGGTTTGTTTGTTTTGAAACAGGGACTGGTTCTGCCTCCCAGGCTGGATTGTGACATCGCTGTCATGGCTCACTGCAGCCTTGACCTCAGGAGCTCAAGCATCCCTCCCAGTTCAAATTCCCATCCCCACCCCCAGTGGGGTAGCTGGAATTACATGGCATTTGCTTGACTAATTTTATTTATTTATTCAGTTAATTAAAGACCAGGTCTTGTGCTGTTGCCCAGGCTGGTCTTGAACTCCTGCCTCAAGTGATCTTCCAGCCTCAGCCTCCCAAAGTGCTGGGATTTATAGGCATGAGTCAACGTGCCAGTCCTCTTAGACATACTTTTTAAAAAGATGTCATTTCTTCTGATCTGACAGATTAGGGATAATGTACTTAATTTTGGAATTTTTACGTCATTTTGAAAAACAAGGGAATCCCACACAGCAATATTTAATACTTTGAAGGGACTAACATAAGTTTTGTTGTTGTTGTTATTCAGACCAAAATAACCTGGTTGACTTTTTACAACTGTCACAACTGATTGCTTGAGCAGATTTTTCGATTGGAATGACAGCCCCCAAATCCTTAAGCAGATCTTATTTTTCCTGACTATTTTTGGGAGAAAAAGAACAAATTAAGCAGGTTTCAGGAACTTTTTTTTTTTTTTTAAAAAGAGCTTTCATGATTTCTAAGTAAGGCATTGACTGATATGTCAACAAATATTTGATTATTTGCTAGGTGTCACAGCTTTGGAGATACACTGATTAAAGCTGTCATGTGACTTTCCTCTCTAAGTCAACAGAGAGAGGAAGACAACAAATACATACAGTTAAAAAATTGTGATGCTGCTAAGGAAGAAATACACAGGATACTTGAGATTCAGCTCTTCTTTTTTTTTTTTAATAACCCCTGAATGATAATACAATTGATATCTGTTGTGATCATCAGAAACCAAAGCAAAATAGTTAACTGTCTTCTTAATTATTAAAGAAGAAATGATCAGTAGAGTTTTAGGTGTTAAATATATGTTGACTGTTTGTAGATGCTTGTGCTGTGTAAGCATACAAAAGTCTATAAGGATACACATCAGACTTAACCATGTTTGGATGATTCTTCAGGAGGGAGCTGCAGAGGAATAGAAGACAGTGGTTTAGTTTTATAGTTTTATATTACTTGAATCTATTTCAATGAACAGGCATTACTTTTAAATACCAGTTATAGAAGCCCCCAAATTAAAACATTTCAGTCACTATGCAAATTGGTGAAATGTACAGTATTTATAAGGCTTTTGTCAATGTTACCACTTCCACCTGTGTATACTAATGAAGGAAAAGAGTATTTCAAGTATCTGAAAATTATAAGGGGGTGCAGGGTGGGGTGGTGGCACTGCAAAATAAGAAAAGACATAGACCTAAGGAAAATGTTAAAACATTTTAAGGTTGTTGGATATTTAGTTATGTAAAGATAAATTAATTTTAGGACTTTCTTTTATCAAATTTAATTGTTTCCTGAGTTGGAAAAAGGAAATCTTTAGATTCCTAGTGGAGAATAAGGTGGGGGAATAGGTATTCTTATTGTGATACAGGCTTCAGGAAGTTTCTTTTTGTCAAACATATACACATCCAATAGATACATTTTGCTTGTGAAGCATACAAACCATAAAAATAGTTTTATAGTTTCATTATTACACTGCTGAAAATGACAGTACCAAAGTGACAAAGTGTCTTTTGAATTATCATTCAGAGTTCTAGAATCATAAATGTGATATACTAAAGCAGTTTCTAGAAAGGAACACTGTGCTACTCATGGTGTATCCTTGGATAATTCCTTAGTCTTTCAGGGCCCCAGTTTTCATATATACACATATGACTTATACATACATACATTAGATAGATATATATTTTTTTGTTTTAATCATATATACATATATAACATATGTATGCTATATGTTGTATACATATATATGAATATAATATGTATAATACATAAAATATGTATAAAGGATATATAAACACACACACATCTATACATAGAGTTTTTATATTGCAAGTCTGCAGTATTATATGTACAAAAAGGAAGAGATACCTTAAGAATAGCTAGTTCTCAGGATACAAATAGTTCCATGTAATTTTTACATATTATACCTAATTTTAGAAGCCTCTTCTTTTTAAAGATACATGGCAAGTATTTAATTCCAGAATATAGATTCATGTAGGTAGATGATTTTCTTTGTATAATTTAGCTTTATCTGTTAGAGCATTATTATTTTTAGTTCTGATCCTTGGTTCTGTAGTAGATTATCTATATGATAATATGTCCTTATTTAACTCTGGATATAGAATGAGGTCTCTAGTGGTTGTCTCCAGACTTGACCCCCTTTCATCCATCCTTACACTACTGCCAAGGTGATTTTTCTAAAGTGCAAGTCTTTTTTTTATCTTTGCTTATTTTATCATCATTTATATTTCAACTTTTAAGTTCAGGGGTACATGTGCAGAATGGGCAGGGGGGTTTGTTACACAGGTAAATATGTGCCATGGTGGTTTACTGCACAGATCATCCCATCACCCAGGTATTAAGCCCAGCATCCATTAGCTATTCTTCTCTTCCTGATGTTCTCTCTCCCCACCCCTACCCTTCTTTCTTAAAGCTGGTTCTTTATCAGCCTCAACTCTCTATCATTACAAGGCCTTTCATCATCTGGCTCATCTTATGCATTTCCCCCACCATAAATCTCCAGTTCCACCTGTACTAATACGAGCGGTTTACTGAATGAGCCATGCTGTTTCCTGACTCAGAGCCGTCACATATGTTCTTTCTACTGTTTAGAATGCTTTTCCTTCTATTGTCTTGCTGGCAGAGTATACTGATTTTTCAAGGTACAACATAAGCACTGTCTGCCTTTTTTCTTTTTTTTAGTTATCACGTTTTCTTTTTTTCTTTCTTTACTGTCTGCTTTTTAAGTCTTCTGGTCCTTCCTCTTCCCAACCCTAGGTGTTACTTACTCACTGTATCATGTTTCACATCATTCATTCTCTTGTGTTTACTAATGTGTTGTAATTATGTCTCTCTTTCCTCTTGGACTCAAAGGCAGGTTTATATTTGTCTTACTACTTTTTGAATTCCTGTTGTTTATTTATACATAATTGGCTATCATTACATGTTTGAACTCTAAATACCAAGATTG